AAATAAATTTAACTAAAGAAGTGAAAGGTTTATGCAATTAAAATTATAAAGTGCTTATGAAAAAATTGAAGAGAAAAAAAGGAAAAACTGTTCTATGCTCATGGATTGGAAGAATTAATATCATTAAAATGACCATACTGCTCAAAGCAATCTACAGATTCAGTGCAATCTCTGTCAAAATACTAATGACATTCATCACAGAAGTAGAAAAAAAAAAACCCGTCAAATTCTAACAGAACCACTGAAGACTCCAAATGGCCAAACCAATGCTGAGCAAAAAGAACAAAGCTGGAGGCATCTTACTTTGAAATACACTACAGAGCTATAATAGCCAAAAGAAAGTTTACTTTAATAAAAACAGACACATTGACCAATGCCACAGAATAAAGACTCAGAAATAAATCCATGCATTTACATCCAACCCATTTTCAACATAAGTGCCAAGAACATACATTAGAGATAGTACAGTCTCTTCAATAAATGGTGCTGGGAAAACTGAATAACTAGATGCCGAAGAACGAAGCTAAACTAACCTCTATATCTCATCATATCAAAAAATCAAATCCAAATAAATTAAAGACTTAAATCTAAGACCTGAAACTATGAAACAACTAGAAGAAAACACCGGGGAAAATGCTTCAGGACATTGGTCTAGACAAAGATTTTTTGGAAAAGACCTCAAAAGCACAGGTAACCAAAGCAAAAATAGACAAATGGGGTTATAGCAAGTTAAACACACACACATACACACACACACACACACAACTTCTGCATAGCAAAGGAAACAATCAGCTAAGTGGAGACACAACCTACAGAATGGGAGAAAATATTTGCAAACTATCCATCTCACAAGGAATTCATAATCAGAATATATAAAGATTCAGCTCTATAGCAGAAAACAGTCTGTTTAAAAAATAGGCAGAGCCAGGCATATGGCACTCATCTGTAATCCCAGCTACTCAGGAGGCTAAAGCAGGAGGATTGCTTGAGCCCAGGAGTTGGAGACAAGCCTGAGCAACATAGTGAGACCCTATCTCAAAAAAGGAGTAGGGAGCAAAAGATCTGAATAGATATTTTTCAAAAGAAGACATATGAATGGCCAACAGGTATAAGAAAAAATGCTCAGCATCATTAATTATTAGGGAAGTGCAAATCAAAACCACAATGAGATATCATCTCACCCTAATTAAAATGGCTCTTATCAAAAAGACAAAAAATAACAGATGCCGGTGAGGATGTGGAGAAAGGGGAATGCCCATACATTATTGATGGAAATGTTAGTATAGTCACTATAAAACAGTATAGAAGTTCCTCCAAAAAATTATAAATAGAGCTACCATATAATCTAGCAGTCCTACTGCTAAAGACTTAAGTCTTTAGTCCATTTTATCCAAAAGAAAGGAAATCAGTATATGAACGACATATCTGCACTTTCATATTTATTACACCATTTACAATAACTAAGATATGGAATCAACCTATGTGCCCATCAATAGATAAATGGATAAAGAAAATGTGGTACATATACAGAGTGGAATATTATTCAGCCATAAAAAATAAAATCCTTTCATTTATAGCAACATGGATGGGCCTGGAGGGCATTAGGTTAAGTGAAATAAGCTGAGCACAGAAAAACAAATACCACATGCTGTCATTCATATGTGCGAGCTACATGTGGATCTCATAGAGGTAGAGAGTGGATTCATGGCTACCAGAGGCTAGGCATGGTAGGAGTGAAGGAGAAACAAAGAAAAGTTGGTTAGTAATCACATGGAAAGATATTTAACATTATTAGTTAGTTATTAAGGGAATGCAAACCAAAACCACAAGATACCACTTCACATCCATTAAATCGACTATCATTGAAAAGATAGACAATAAAAAGTGTTGACAAGGATGTGGGGAAATTCGAATCTTCATTTATTGTTGGTGAGAATGTAAATGATGCAGTCACGTTGGAAAACAGCTTGGCAGTTCCTCAAAAAGTTAACCATTGAGTTGCCATATGGCCTAGCAATGCCAGTGCTAGCTATATACCCAAGAGCATTGAAAACATGTCTACACAAAAACTTGTACACTAATGTTCATAGAACTTGATTCATAATAGCTAAAATGTGGAAACAACACAAATGTCCATCAACTGATGAATAGACAATGTGTTATATCCATACAATGGAATATTATTTGGCCATAAAAAGGAGTAAAGATGGATGAACCTTGAAAGTATTATGCTGAATGAAAGAATTCACATAATGTATGATTCCATGTATATAAACTGCCCAGAATAGGCAAGCCTGTAGAGACAGAAAGTAGATTAATGATTTATAGGGGCTCCAGAAAGGGGGAATGGGGGTAAATGCAAATAAGCATAGGGCTTCTTTTGGGGGTGACGAAAATATTCTGGAACTGGTGTCAGTGGTTGCACAACTTTGTGAATGTATTAAAAACACTGAATTGCACGTTAAAAGGATGCATTTTTGGTATGTGAATTACATCTCAATAACGCTGTTGTTTTACAAAAGAAAGAAAAAAAAAACACAGAAAAAGTGAGCTATACAGAAACATATCTGTGATGGTTTAGGCCACTCTCATCCCTGGCTGCTTCAATACTGTCAGGTATTTACATTGATTAGCTTCTGTTTAGTTGTGCTTTTTCTCTTTTCTTTTTAAATTTTGAGGCTTCAATCCAAGTCATCTAGCCAAATAAATTCCCAAACATGTGTTTCTGACACACGGCCAAATAATCTAGATTTAGATAGGAAATCATGACCAAATTCATTTTAGTCATAAATTAACAGACAGGCAGCTCCTAGAGACCTAAATATGTCTCTTTTTCAAACATGGTGACTGTCTTACTCCATTCAGGCAGCTATAACAAAAATACCAAAGACTGAGTGGCTTAAACTACATTTATTTCTCACAGTTCTGCAGGCTGCGAAGTCTGAGATTAAGATGCAGATTCAGTGTGTGGTAGGGGCCAGCTTACCAGTTTATAGACTGCAGTCTTCTTACTATATCCTTACACGGCGGACGAGTGAGAGAGTGCTCTGGGTCTCTTTTACAAGGGCACTAATCTTATTCATGAGGGCTCTGTCTTCATGACCTAATCACCTCCCCAAAGCCACACCTCCCAATACAGCACATGGAGGATTAGGATTTCAACATATGAATTTTGGGGGAACACCAATAGGGACACAAATATTCAGTCCCTAGTAGTGACATAGAATTATTAAATTGACAATAGGTTTCCTTTAGTGCAAGGATAGTATCTTGAAAATAATAATTAATGTAAAAGTTAAAATGAATAACAAATGGAATGAAATACACACAGACATTTAAATGTACCCTGAGAAATGCCCTTTTATATTACCATACTAAGAGTGTCAAAAGAGAGAGAGAAAGAGAGAAAGAGCTTTACCTGTGGGTGTATAATGATTTTGGGTAGTTAAGCAGCACCCTTCTTCTGAATTGCTCACAATGCTTTATAGCATTCACTTCAGCAATTGTTACAACACTCTTGTGGGTGGCAGGCATTGTACTAAAAGTGCAGTACAACTGCAGGTCAGGCAACCCAGGGACACACAGCAGTCACACGAACAGTTGAAAGCACAGGGAGATGTGGAACCAACATGGCTGGTCCAGTAATGCCTTGTCCACGTCTGACCAAAGCGGAATCTTCTTGGACTGATAAGCTCTCTAACAAATAACAGTTTTGAGTTCCTATTCTTCTGGGTTTCCCAAGTGTGCCTGCCATATCTGAAACAGATGGTCAGTATTGCAGGATTATGACTGTTTTTAATGGTAATAGAATCACGTGATTAACACTTCCTGAAAAGAACTGGATTACATTTGAAAATTGGACCTTAGCTCTTCAAAAAAATATTATTTGATTTCCTGTCTCATTTCCAGAAAATCATAGGAAAACTGAAAGTCTGTAAAGAGTATTTTGAAATAGATTAAAATCTACATTTGTTTTATGTCACACTGATCTCTTAGGCCCCATCCAACTATTTACTTATTTGGCAGTTATGATACTTTCTCTGTACAGCCAAAAGCCTGGGGAGGGACATGCATGCAGGGACAACAACGTTTTATTTCGCCATGTCGCCCCGTGCTTCGCACCATGCCTGGCACATAGCACTCAACAACAGTTTTTGAATAAATGCATCTCGCCGTATTTTGCTTTATAAGACTTTTCTTTGACTATATGGCACTGCAGTTGGAGTTCTATTTATTGTAACAACCTCTCCTAGCAATGCTTTTGTTGCATGGATAATGTGCTTTTATTTTTCCAGATTTCTTTCATTTCTGATTTACTCTGACCATTCACGAAAGAATATTAAGATTTGAAGATTTCTAAACAACTCTGGTGGGGGAAATTTCTATAAGTGTTCAGATGTTTCTTGACTAAATTTTAAAAGGTTATCTGTATCTGCAGTATTTTTGGCACTTAACAAGTAATAACATATTCATATTACATCAACACTTACTTCATTGTTTTTCCTTTTAAAAGTTCTTAAAAAAAAAGAAACTAAACATCTTCCCAGATTGTATTTCCCTCATCTCCATTAGTTACCAGTGTTGACTCTATTGTTTTTATTGCCAATATTCTTGCAGAAAACTTACAGATGACCTATTTGTCCTTGATTTTTGCTTCCAAAGATGCACTACCAAAGAATAGGAATTTCTTATGGAATGCATATGTTTTAGGGGCATCTGTCTCTGTCTTTAACTTTGCAAAAATAAAATAATAAAGTTATGTGTTTTCTTCACACATTTGAAAGCCAGAAATAGATTCAGACGTACATTTTCTATCCGTGTGCCAAGCTAATAAGCAGAGCACAACAGACTGCAGCGCGCAGGCCACCGCGGCTCCGCCCTCGCACTGCGCTCTTCCTCCTCCCGCGCCTCCCCCGTCCCTCCTCCCACCCGGGCCGGCCTGGCCAGCAGCCCCCCGCAGCCCGGCCAGCTGCTCCCCTGGCAGCTGCACACTCGCCTCTGGGTCTGTCGTGCCGCGTTGTGTTCCTGGGCATCATTGCAATCACAGAATCGCAGCGTTTTAAAGCCGGGTGACTTTGGACTGGCTCCTTTGACACCACTGAATTTCTGCAGATCATTTACTCCATTTTAGATTCCTAACAATTCACCATCTGGAAGGGATTGGAGAGGGCACTGGGACCAGTGGAGTGTCTGCTGCGTCATGTGGGGGCACTTTTAGTGACCTCCTCCTGAAGCAGACGTCAACTGGAAGTGTTCTAGGTGCCCAGAGAGAAGGGTCTGATGCAGAACGCATTTCTGTTACTGCATCTTCACCCTCAAGGGAAGGAAACCTAGGCCTCTGAGGAGGTAGAACTCAACAGTAATACATGCTTTTAACTAGCAATATATATGGTACACGTTCTCCGTTTATAAAATCAGTTCTGCAATGCCTGTTACTCCAGTCTCTGTTATCTTAGGAGCTCTGGAGTGAAGACTATCCCCTGACCTAAAATGGGCAGATCAGAATCTCTCAGGGGAGTTTGGAACTGGGACAGAAATGCTGATCTCTGTCCTGGTTTCTCCAACAGGAAAGATGTGCACGGGGAGCTGGGGATGGGCCATGTTTGCAGCGGTGTGCCTTGAGATAGTGAAAATAGATCTGCTGGTCCTGGAGACAGTGAAAGAGAGGGAGAAAGAAAAATAAATCTACAGTGAGAAAAATAGACATGAGAAAGAGCCAGCTTCCCGGCTTCCCAGAGGCTTCCTGGCTCTTGGTTCTATTCCCCCGGGAGATTGGGCTACTTCCTCGCCTGGCCTGAAGTTAGTTAGTCTGTCTTCCATGCAACAAAATCCTTTCCTAAGATGTTGACTCCACAAGGCTTCTGACCACAAAGCACAGTCATAATCCTTTCATTGAGTTTAATTATCCAAAATCTCAAGACTCTCAACCGCAATTAAGAGCCCAGAAGTAGACAGATGACATATCCAAATAGTGAAAGCTGTTTTGGGTCCAGAATTGTGCAGAACGTCACTCCTAGCTACGCCTGGCCCTGCTCACTAATCCTCCTCAAAAAACAATTCATCAAATTTATCTTGCAGCTGCTATATGCTCTGTACCAGGTCAAAAGTTGAAATTTTGAAAGCCATCATGACACAGCCCCTGATTCCCATGAGCTTTCAAGCTAGCAGGGAACTTAGACAAGTAAAACACATATACAAGGGGTCTTTTAAAAGTTCATTGAAATACATATTATGAAAAAACTATGCATAGATGTCAAAATTCTTTTGCACCAAAATAAACTTGTACTAACTTGTTATAAAATGTCTGAAAAGTTTGAGGCACTAAACATCAGTTTATAAGGAGTCCCTTATCAGAGCAATGTGAATTCTGCTAAAATTGAAGCAAGAACAGACATCAAATTTTTGGTGAAGCTTGGTTCAAAGAATGGTGAAATCATTAATTTTGTAATGAAAAGTTTATTGGGACAATGTCCCAAGAAATTAAGCAGCTTATAAATAGAATAATTCATTTTAAGAAGGGGAGAGACAATGTTAAAGCCGAAGCCTGCAGCAGCAGATCATCCACCTCAATTTGTGAGGAAAAGTTCATCTCGTTTGAGCCCTAATTGAAGAGGACCAATGATTAACAGCAGAAACAGCCAACACCATAGACATCTCAGTTGGTTCCACTTCCACAATTCTGACTGAAAAATTAAAGTTGAGCAAACTCTCCATTTGATGGGTATCAAAACCGTTGTGCCCCCAAATCAGCTACAGACAAAAGCAGAGCTTTTGATGGAAATTTTAAACAAGTGAGATCAAGAATCTCAGAGTATTTCTTCAAAGAACTGTAACAGGAAATAAAACATGCCTTTGTCAGTACAATTCTGAAAACAAAGCACAATCACAGCAATGGCTACCAAGAGGAGGACGTGCTTCAGTCAAAGCACCAGCAGACATCAAAAGCCAAGGTCGTGGTGAAAGTTTTTTTGGATGCATAAGGTACTTTTCTTGTTGACTTTCTGGAGGGCCAAAGAATGAGAATGCCAAAGCTTTAGCAGAAAAATGCCTAGGAAAGCTTCACAGGAGAGAGTCCTTCTCCACCACAATGATGCTCCTGCTCATTCAGTCCTCTCATCAGACAAGGGCAATATTTTGAGTTTTGATGCAAAATTATTAGGCATCCCACCTTACAGTCCTGATTTGGTTCCTTTTGACTTTTTGTTTCCTAAAAAAGCTTTAAATCTTTTTTTTTAGTTAATAATGTAAAAAAGACTACATTGACCTGATTTTCCAGAACCCTCAGTTCTTTAGGGATGGACTAAATGGCTATTATCACTTATAAAAATGTCTTGAGGCCAGGTGCAGTGGCTCACACCTGTAATCCCAGCACTTTGGGAGGCCAAGGCAGGCAGATCACAAGGTCCAGAGGTTGAGACCAGCCTGACCTATGTGGTGAAACCCCATCTCTACAAAAAAAAAAAAAAAAAAAAGTCTTGAACCTGTTGGAGCTTATGTTGAGAAAGGAAATTCGTATATTTTATTTTTATCTTTTAATTCTGTTTCTTCAGGAACCTTTTGAACTAGTGAGATAATTTTCTTCTTTAACTTCACTCAGTTTAAATCTCAGTGTTGTTGAAGAAATGGTAATGTTGGCCAGGCACAGTGGCTCATGTCTGTAGTCCTAGTGCTTTGGGAGGCTGAGGCAGGAGGATTGCTTGAGGCCAGGAGTTTGAGGACAACCTGGCCAACATAGTGAGACCCTGTCTCTAATACTCTGTCTCTAATATTAAAAAAATACAAGATCTGAGTCACGTGGCAGAAAAAAATACAAAAAAATGATAATACTACTTTGCAGATTTTATGTTTAACATTTCAAGAGGCTAAGCATGAGTATCAGCTAAAAAAATCTCAAGAATTTTAAAGATATGACAAACTTAAATTCTTTTGAAGACGTTGCATGAGACTTGCAGAGTTCTAGATGAGGAAGAGACTGTTTCCAAGATGCTTATATATCCAACCAAATGAAGCAGATTAGAAAACAGCAGGCTGATCACACAACCTCGCTTCACTTAGCTGGTTGTGTGGAATGCGCCTTATAGGGCACCATCAACTTTGCTATGATCATGTTGCATTTTTAACTAGGCTGTCAGTGTTGACAGTATAGCAAAATCCTTTTGGACAAAGAAACAAACTTTAGACATTGTCAGAGACCAGTTACAAGATCAAGTGGTTTTATAAGATTAATGTAAAAAAACCTTTATATTAATATTTTACTACTTTTATTTTGAATATGTACCAAAAAGCATGTGTTACATTTTAAAGCTAACTTGGAATTTAGAATAAGACTTTAGAAAGCAACTTTTATCAGATTATATATTAACACATGTTGATTGCAGAATATTTGGATAATATAGATCAATACTGTATGACTTAATCCACAAAACCACTTTATTGTTATAGTCATGACTTTTATATTTATAGTCAATTTCTCAGCCCCTCACTTACCCTATCAGGAGAAAGTCTAATGTAGACTCTCCCCAAATTGTCCAAAGACACTATGGGCTGGGCGTGGTGGCTCACACCTGTAATCCCAACACTTTGGGAAACCAAGGCAGGCAGCTTGCTTGAGTCCAGGAGTTCAGGACCAGCCTGGGCAACATGGCAAAACCCCGTGTCTACTAAAAATACAAAAATTAGCCAGGCATGGCGGCATGCACCTGTAGTTATAGCTACTTGGGAGGCTGAGGTGGGAGAATCATCTGAGCTTAGGCGGTAGAGGCTGCAGTCAGCTAACGCCACTGCACTGTTGCCTGGGCAACCGGAGTGAGACTCTGTCTCAAAAAAAAAAAAAAAAAAAAAAGACACTATGGGCTTCCTTGGTCCAAAGAGTGACAGAAGTGAGTTGTGTTTCCATTGCTATGTCTAGAGGGAAATGGGAGGCTTGACCATTTCCCTAGTACTCTCCTTCCTTGCAGCCTCACAAAGCTCTATGGAAGTATGGTCCTGCATGGTCCATGCTGTGGCAAATGCTCTTGCTGCATCCGGCCCTGCCTAGCCGTGGTGGGGCCCCAACCTGGGTCCTACAATTATAGCTCTCTTGAAGTCCCTCACAGGCAATGATAGTCACCATTTCCCCTATTCTCAGCACAGGACCAGAGTAGCTGGGTCCCAAAAAGCTTCTAACTTAGTCACATGCTATGCTTCCTCCAAGAATGCCTAGGCCCCTAAATTTATCCCAGGATGTCAACTTAGGTTTGCTGATTCCTAATGATAATTTTATTTCAGGTTCTCATTACTGCTCTCTGATAATGGGCCTTGGCCAGGTTACCCTGGTCAATCTTGAAAAGAGCAGGGTAGAATATCTGTCCTTGCTTTTCCAGATGGTAAGGGCTCCATACTCATATTATCTAAACACTTCATCAGGGACCAGTTTTATTTACCCTATGACATAATACCAGAAGGATAGGTAAACTCTACACCCAACATTTCCATAACTAAGGAGGCAACTGGAATGACTTGGCAGGCCACAAATGAAATCCTCTATGTCAATTAAAAAAAAAAATCCATGACCAAGCAGTAATATGTGGTCATTGTAGAATATATAGAATATACAGAATATTACAAAGAAGAAAATCAAAATCCTTCATAATCCTACCCATAGATAACCCCTGTTAATGCTGTATAGGACTCTTGCCCTAACTCGCCTCCCCACCCACCCTTGCACTGCTCTCCCAACCCATTCTTGACACAATTCAGACAAGTTGCTGCTCTGAACACTCCATTCTTAACTTCTTTGTGCATTGTATTTCCTTGTCCTGCAATGCTTTCTTTTCTATTTTTGCCTGTTAAAATCTGCTTCTTTAAGGTCCAGATCGAATGTCACCTTCCCCTTAAATGTATTCTGATTACGCCCTCTGAATGAAGTTCCACCTACTCGAACCACCCGCAATTTGTACTTTACTGGAGACACGTGTACCATGCCTCCGAATTGTACTAATTTTTACAGTAGTCTCAACTCCAAGACTAAATAGAATGTTTGAGAGTAATTCCTACCTGAAAATAAGAATTTTGTTGTATTCAACTTTCCTTTTCTTTTTCTCTCTTTCTTTCTTTCTGATGGTATTTTACTCTTGTTGCCCAGGCTGGAGGGCAATAGCGCGATCTCAGCTCACTGAAACCCCCACCTCTCAGGTTCAAGCGATTCTCTTGCCTCAGCCTTTTGAGTAGCTGGGATTACAGGCACCCACCACCACGCCCAGCTACTTTTTGCATTTTTAGTAGAGATGGGGTTTCACCATGTTGGCCAGGCTGGTCTTGAACTCCTGACCGCAGGCAATCCACCCACCTTGGCCTCCCAAAGTGCTGGGATTATAGGCATGAGCCACCGTGCCCAGCCCGTATTCAACTTTTTATCTCCCATATCAACTGATACAATGCCTTCCTTGCCAATAGTATGTACTCAGCAAATATTTGTTTAAAAATACACGCATGTACTAGCAATAGAGAGGTGACATATCAATTAAGTTGGCCCAGTCAAATTCTTTGACTTTATTAAAATAAAAAATGATAGGGCCAGGGACTGTTGTTCACACCTGTAACCCCAGTGACTCAGGAGAATGATGCCGGAGGATCACTTAAGACCAGGAATTCAAGATCAACCTACAC